ACAGGGCTGTGTAGCTTCCCCTTGGCTGTTCAACCTATTTACGGACAGGTGTTTGCAAACTTTGAAAGATGAAGAATGTGGGTTAAGAATGGGCGAGTTAACCGTCAAATGCCTTTTGTATGCCGATGATCAAGTCATATTTGCGTCACCGGCGGCTGAGTTGCAAATGATGGTTACATTAATGAACTGGGAATTAAAAGAAAGGAGAATGAAAGTGAACGCAAGTAAGACGAAAGTGATGGTTTTTGAAAGAGAAGAAAGCAAAACGGTATGTGAAATAAGAATAGAAGGAGAGTTAATTGAGCAAGTGGATGAGTTTGTGTATTTGGGATGTGTATTTAGCAGGGATGGTAGATATGATAGAGATATAGAACGACGAGTAAATGCAGGGGATAGAGTGAATGGGGCACTACACTCTATTGTGAAGAACCAGAATGTGTCCAAAAAGGCACGTATGGTAATTCATAATGCTGTGTTAGTCCCTACTTTAATGTATGGTAGTGAAAGCTGGGTGTGGCAGAAGAAGCACGAAAGTAAAATAAATGCTGTAGAAATGCGGTCTTTAAGGAATATGCTAGGGTTGAATCTGAATCCCCCCCGAACGGGTTCCCGCCTTGTCGTGGCGGGGGGGCTTAGAAGCCGTGGCTTGGTCACCCACGGCGAAACAAAGAGGAACCCATATGGCTGGTCCGAGGTGGAGGGCCGGTCCGAGGTGGCCACTCCGAGTGGGCTTGGGAAGCCCACTTTGGATGTGTGTTGGTGGACTGCGGTGAGAGGTGTGTCCTCCCCACCTACCGCTGCAGCCGAGGTGGAGTCGCGGAGGAAGAGGAGTGTTGGTATGGCGATGCGCCACTCGCCCTATCCTCCGCGACTCAAACGGGGCCGCACCGTTGATGCGGTGGTGGTGGGGCTGCGGGGGGAGAGGATTGTCGGTATTGCGAGGCGCCGCTCTCCCTACCCTCCGCAGCCGAATCTTGGTTGGCGGCGGAGCCATAGACCAGATCCGCCGCTGGGGTCGGGAAGGCTAGTACTTCTAAGTGCTCGTTTTTCCTGGCCCCATGGCCTTTGTGCATGGGACGCGGGGGCGTCTGTTGCACAGACGTAATTGGAGGCCGTGGAGGAAGGCGCGCCATGTGTTCTGGTGCGCCTTACCTAGAAGGAGAACGGGGAGGAATTTTCCTCTCCCGAGGAGGTGCTGCCATGGGGCGGCAGGCGCTAGTAGGGCCGCGGATGTGTGCGAAAGCGTTCCCGTAGCCCTGCCAATATGCGACAAAGGTGGAACACCATGGGGTTTTAGTCGGTGCGAGTCCGACATAACCCGTCCTTGCCCCCGCGAGGCGGGTATGCGTAGGCATTTCCCCATGTAACAAAAAAAAAAGGGTTGAATCTGAATGACAGGGTGAGAAATTGCGTGATAAGAGATAAATGTGGTATGCAAGATGATGTTGTGACCAGGATTAAGAAAGGAATGCTTCGGTGGTTTGGTCATGTAGAAAGAATGAATGAGGAAAGAGTGACAAAGCAAATTTATATGGCAGATGTGAACGGCCGAGTCGGGAAGGGACGCCCTAGAAAAAAGTTTATCGACCAAATTGGCGATATTTTGAAAATGGGCCACGTTAGAAGTACCCTTAACCGACGAGCATGATCACGAAGGAGACCGAGGTGTTTAACATTCCGATGTCATAGATAGCTCGGCTACCTTCAGTTTTTTAGAATATTAATATTCGGTCCAATCTACGCAGACCGAGCTTATAGTATCTTGAATTCTTGCATTGGTTTCCCAAGCAGATGGTAGCACCCATCCATCTTCTCTAATCAAATAAGGATGTTTTTAATTTCAAGAGCCTAGTGATTCATCGCTGGTAGGAATCGATGTCCTTTTGCGAGGATTTGAGCTCTATCTAATCTGATGTAATGGCAAGGATGATCTTGAACTTGTTCATAGACCATACAGACTATGCAGACTTCCTGGAGCATCTGTGCTTCACGTCAGCTATATGTTCTTTTATACGAGTTTTTATAGATCTTTTTGTTCATCCTATGTACAAGAGACCACATTCACAATCAAGGATATTACACTTGACGGATGGTAAAAATTGGCTAATCTTCTCGCTTCAAGATGGAGCTAATTTTGTCTGTGACTCCTCTGATGTAAGGTAGTACGTACAGCACGCACATGTTTGACCATGTCAGGCTTCACTCGGTCGCTGTAACGTAGGTGCGTGACCAGATGCTTGTTGTTTTCTTGATGTGCTCGGCGGCCAGATGTTCTCTGTAACAGATCCCTTGTGCTCTCTGAAACAAAGATTTTCCCATGGTAGCTAACTAATCAGTTAGCTACCGTGCCACGGTCGAGCGTATGCCTCTTGTATTACCATACGTTGGAGGAGTTACTGAAAAGATTGCCTACATCTTGAAGCGAGCTTCCATTAAAACCTACTACAGGCCGCCAAAGAAGATTGATTAGTCAATTGATCAAAACCACTTTTACTGATTTTATCGCGTTTAATTTACATGATTCTTAATTCCCGACGTTTCGGGTGTTTTGCGTAGATCGGACCAAAAATTAATATTATATAATTGAAGGTAGCCTGGCTAACTATGACATCGGGACGTCAAACATGACAAGCTCACGCGGAGGAGGGGGGGCGACCATGGTTGCTGTAAATCACCCGAAATGTCGGGAATTAAAATATAAAAATTAAAAGATATAAAATTCGTTCCATTTAAGTATTTTTCCCACATTCTAATTCTAAGACTATTTCAAAAATTAGGTTATATTAGCATCTTGAACAAAACAAACAAATTGTATGATATGTGTCTTCAATATAAATTTGTAACAAACAATATTTCAAATTTTTAGTTCATATTTGTTATTTACGTTATTTTCAATATCATCATCATCATTACAGCCCTTCACAAGTCCACTGCTGAACGTAGGCCTCCCCCAAGCAATGCCACAATAGCACGGTCCTGAGCCACCTGCATCCATCGACTTCCTGCATGTCTTACCAGGTCGTCACTCCATCTAGTGGGGGGTCGCCCTACACTACGCCTACCAGTACGAGGCTGCCACTCGAGAACCTTTCTTCCCCATCGGTTATCGCTTCTTCGAGCTATATGGCCGGCCCATTGCCACTTCAGCTTACTAATCCGTTGGGCTATGTCGGTCACTCTGGTTTTACTGCGGATATCCTCATTTCTGAGTCTATCACGCAGAGAAACTCCGAGCATAGCTCTCTCCATAGCTCGCTGAATGATCTTGAGCGTCCTCATACGGCCAGCAGTGAAGGACCACGTCTCAGATGCGTAAGTCATCACTGGCAACACGCACTGGTTGTGCACTTTAGTTTTCATAGATTGAGGTATACCTGACGAGAAGACGTGTCGTAATTTCCCGAACGCTGCCCAGCCGAGTTGAATCCGTCGATTGACCTCTCGGTCGAAGTTGGACTTACCTAGTCGGACCATTTGTCCCAGGTAAACGTACTCGTCAACAACTTCGAGCATAGTGCTCCCAACAACTACCGGCATAGGTGTGACATGGACATTAAACATGATCTTTGTTTTGTCCATGTTCATATTAAGACCTATCCGTTGGGAGACACATTTTCAATATGCATTATTATAATTGTAATTTAATATTTTATTATTATTATCGTTTATCAACGTATAGAAGTTGCTTAATGAATTTGTGAATATCAATTACTATCGGTCACGCCACTTCAATAGAAAATAGTAACTATTAGGTAAAGTATAATTTTCAAATCTAGATCACAGGAAACGAAATTTAATACCTTGCACTTTAATTTAGCAATAATTTCAGAACCCTTTCACGTTACAAAATTGAGCAAGCAACCATCAGTCACTTGATATACTCGTAGTTTTACTATTTGCTTCCTACAGGCGATAATATTTTCACTTTAAACAAGTTGAAACTAAGACTACTATTTCTTTAGGATTTTTTTTTATAACAATGAAGTGACAAACAAATTTACTGTCTAACTGATGGAAAGTGGCTACCAGCAGTCCATGGACACCTGTAGTTAATTTTTTATAGAATAAGGGTGAACAACGAGCACACAGTCCACCTGATGGTAAATGGATGCTGTGGTTCATAGATATCTACATTAATCCTCGATTAAGAATCAAAATGCAGATGCGTTGTCAACCTTGAGGACTAAGATGGAATGCCTTATTTCCAGTAAAAAGGATCTCCGGTTCTCTACACACACCATACGAAACAGCAGCATTAAACTACTATTTTACGCTGGTATTCTCCGAGAATGTGGTCCTTCCGCGGTCGAGCCGACCCATACCTGACACAACCATATTATAGCTTGGCACTACTACGTGTCCATGGACACCTGCGGTCAACTACGAATTAAGATGACTACAGATGCGTTGTCAGAGGACTAAGATGTAATGCCTTACAGCATATAATTAAACTGACTCTCTATACACTTCAGACCGAAACGTAGCAGTGCTGGCGCTGCTACTTGACGGCAGAAATAAGTAAGGTTGTGCCACCTTAATGCTGCTGTTGCCTTCCGAGGCAGAAAAGATGTCCTACCATCTACATAGTAAAGAAGTTCTAAGTAGTACCACAGAATAAATGATAGGTACAAGAAGTATTACCTAGTAAAATTTAGTGCCAATGGACACAAACTAACCTAAGTTTGTTTATATAGTTCGTACTAACTGATACCCGCCCGCTTCTCTGGGCGCACGATAATTGACGATAGTAATGTAGATATAAAATATCAAGATTTTTTTAATGAGTATTTCGTAAAATTCGTTCTTAGTGAGCGTCTGCAAATGACGTCGGTCTGCAAATGAGTAACTGTACTTTAGTGATATCGTGATGAGCCACTCAATCAGTGGTATATCGCTTATAATTTTTTTTCAATTTTTTACATTATCAACTTATTGTTTTACACGATATTCGTATACGAACTTTCTACCTACGTAACTACAAAAGAAATAAGCAAACATACCAGTCGTTGGTCTTAAAGCTGGATGTAAATGCGCATAGGGAACAGAGAGCGGCAGTTGCAAAAGGGGAGGTTCGTCCCTGCAGCACCGATATAGAGCTGCTACGCACCCAGCACAAGGAGGCTCCTGGGTCCGCGACACTTCCGCAACTGAATTCGCACTTGAAGTCTCATTATTTCCCAAAATACTGTCCACACTAAACTTAAGTTTATTTGTATTTACTTCACTGCTGATAGATGTCATGACATTAAAACACAAAAACCGTAGACACTCGTCAAGGGTGTCTGCAATACTGACAACATTGGGTTAATTTTATCGGCGCAAGCGCAGGCAAAAGGCGTGTCAAGTTTCGACGAGCTTTCTGATTGGTTGCATTTAGTTGGGCGTTCCGTAGGAAAGCTGTAATGGAGTGAACATTTGACGAACACTATACTGATGATACATGCTGCATTGCGGTTTGTTTATAACAAACTGCGTCTTTAATGTGTTTTATATGACTTTGCAAGTACAATTTAATTTTACGAGTATTGCTTCGTTGCTTACGTCACATGCATGTTTGTAAGATAAAGTTGAACTTGAATGAATATACTTACCAATAGTTTTAAATACAAGAAAATATTGATTCCTAACTTTGATAATATTTACGGTTAGAAGTGATAAATGTATAGAGTGCAACCTAGGGTAACATTTATCAATTCTAAGATATTCCAGCTAACCTAACCTTTTCTCCAAATGCTAACAGTAGACTTTACAAACTTTATACCACATAGAGCTCCAGCTCCATATAGGTAAGGTACGCTAAGCTTTGCAGCCCTATAAAACCAAAACTGGGAGGAGAAAAGAAACAAATACATAAAGTCGTATACCATAACTAATACTTATTTCAAGAAAAAGAAACAAACAAGCTTTGGAAATAATTAGCAACACCGAAAAATCTACTTAAATAAAACTAACTACACAGCACTATACTAAAATCGGCTAAAATATTTACAATAATGTCAACTGTGAAAGTGTCGTCGATAAAGCAGCGCAATTGGCAGCTTTATATACTTAGTCGGTACTTATTAGATATTGTGTTGATACCGTCGAACAATAACGTAATTTTGCATAAATTTATCTTTATCAATCAAAGTTATATTAACTTTAATGTTTTAAGTTATAGAAATACCAGAAAAACACATCTTAACTGTACTTTGCTACATTTAAAAGAGTTTAACATTAAGTGGTAGAGCCACGCTGCAGCTGTATTATGGCTGTAGTACAAATGGGTTAAGACGACCAGAAGACAACCACATCATCATTAAATACCAGCGCAACGTAGTACCTATATGCCACTATACTGCTGTATTTCGTGTGCGGGGAGACACGAACTGGAACCCTCTTTACTAAGTAGTAACATCATCTTTTTCTTTAAGGGCAATCATAATCAAAATCTTAGTCCTTAACAGAAAGAACACATCGATCTACGTTTCGGTTTTTAATCTAGGAGATGTAAGTTTTCAGCATCCACTTAACATCAGGTGAACTGGGTGATTGTTTATCAAATTAACACTTTCACTGTCCGGCTTTCAGACACAATAGTTAGACAATAGCAATAACTTACCTGTATATGTAGCGGGACAGCGAAAGGGCAAAAGTTCTAAAATCTTAAGTTTATTCTTCCCATATAGTCTTCGTCAGTTATCCAGGTTGACATGAGGTATTGACACTGGCATTTGATAAATGGCATGATAATTGGCAATGGCATTGGCATGATAAATAATATTTTTTAAAAAATGCTTGCTAAATTTTGCTTTGAATTTTCGTATTGCATGCTTTGCAAAACGCTACGCCATTCTTATCGTGGAAAGGCCACGTAGAAAGGTCTGATATCTGTTTCCAATTCGGGAAAAACTTTTCGACGATTAAATGTATGATATAAAACTTTTATATTAAATTAATCGCACAGACCTCAGTTACTCCGTTGCTCCACCACGTACTAAATCACTTCAATGTTCTTGTATGTGTAGCTACTTAATGTGGTCTAATATGGTTGTCACTTTCAAAAAATGTCTAGAAATTAATACTTAAATAATCGTATAGTCCTACTTTCTCGGAATAGTGCCAAAAGTTAGGTTTTCTATTTGTATGGGAAAACAGCCCGTCGTGTCGTCACTAGCTTTTCTGACCCTTTAACTAGTCGGTGAAACCGTCAAGATGTCACTTTTACTTTTGCAGCAAATCGCAAGTAAAATAGACACCGCCTTCAATTCGTGAGTTCACGCATCATGTAGGTACAATGCGCCTGACAACGCACTTGCTTAGCTTCTCTTCCGAGAAGAACTTGGAAAAATCCAGAAAAGTTTAAAAATTGGGGTTTTATTGGAATAAAAATTACGATATTAAATAAACAAATTTACATTTAGGACAAAAAGGCGACCGGAGCTTACCACACTTAACAGCAGCAACAATTTGGTTTATAATATTATTCATTAGAATGCCTTATTTTCTTTGTGGAGTAAAACCATAAAACATAATAAATGTCTATTTTTATTTATTTATGTATGAGACTAAATCTTAAATTAGTGTTAATGCCTACACACAGCGTCCATAGAAGCGTATTGTTAGCTCTAAAGCTCTAAAATCGATTACGGTTCGGTTTATTTTGCCTGTCAGGCAACACCTGCGCTCCGTCCGCGCCAACCGATTTAGATGCAATCATTGCCCGCAGATCGTATCTCGGCTTGTGTATATTCGATACGAAAATCGATGTGTAACGAATGTGATGTTATGTGGTATTTATTTAAGTTCACCTACGTTATGGTATGAGATATGTATCTTATTGTATGTATATTCATAGCACCACATATAAATGCATGTGCTACGATAACATAAACGCATAAGGCTATTAAAGAGCGAAACTTCTCAATTGAGTATGCTGATTGAATGTACGCAGGTTAGAGTTTTACTTAGCTTAAAAATTATTTCAGACCGTTCAACTCATAGATATATTGTTTTAACTTTAGTATGCTCTGCAAACATAAAAAAAAACATTATTACAAGAGCTGGTTCTACGTTTTAGTCTTTCTTTTTTTACATACTATTAAAGTCCATTCCAGGACATTGGCCTTCTCATAGATCACTTTATAAAGTGTATTTTGCTCATCTGCTGGTTTGTTTACCTTTATTAGCGTTTACCTTTATATGACACCGCCACTACACGGTCGTTCAACTTTTAGTATGGTTTTAAGTATCACCAAACTTCGATTAGAATAACAAATTATAATAACATTTATATAAAAGAGACTACGGTTGCCAACCCACCTACCAAGAGTGGCAACTATGGCAAGTATCCTCATATTAGAGACAATTTATTAGGAGGCCTATGTTTAGCAGTGGACTTGTAAAAGTTAGACTGTAAGTTGTAAGGTATTAAATTGAACCCTTTATAGTCTTGACTATCTCAAAGCGTTTTAGTTTATAATTTGATAAGGTTTTAAAATAAAATTTTGTCAATTTGTTTATAAATTAACCATTTTACATAATTTATAACGCTCTCATAAATTTTGATGATTTGGACTTGGAAAAAATGGGAGATTCCGTAATCTCCATTTTTTCTAGTTACGAACAGACGAGCCTATGCGCTGACCACATAGAATATCTATAAATTCAATATTAGTATTCAAAAACTTACTAAGCGGATAACAATAAAATAATAATGTTAAAGAAAAAAGCAATCGCAATAACTTTTAGTATTAAATAAATAAAAAATTGTTAAATAAATTCATACTGACATACAATCACACTTCTTTTATTTCAAAACTCTATTATATTGAATATTATTACTTTCGAAAACGACCATATTATGACCGCAACCGCAACGTTACATTAAAACAGAAATATAGCCAAAGAAAACTAAAACTTAAAATAGGAAAATTAACGATACATATAAGTCTAGTCGTTTAAAGTAAAATACGTTTAAAGTGTAAATGGGTGTTTAAACTCAATATCGTCATACTGACGTTAAGAGTTGCAAATTATCGAATATTTCAAAAGACGAATAATCCGTTTGCAACTTTTTCCCTACCTGTAGCATATTTATAAAAAGTAAAAAGTCTTACTCCTATTCTGCGATTCTACATTATTATACAGCACTGTCACTCTCTAATTCTTTAAAACCAAAAAATATAGTCGTCCTTGTGGGGATTTAATTTAAACAATATCCACACTTTTGTTTTTCATACTTTCCAGCTTATTTTATGCAAACAATCGAAAATAAAGAAATTTTAGATGTTTTCAAAAAGATTGTAACATTGTATATTGTTAAAAATATAACGACAAATAATATAACTTTTTTAATGCTGAAAACTGTGCTAGATTTAATTTTTGTTAATAGTATAATAGAACCGATCGCTTCAATTCGTAAAGTGGTGGATGCCGTATGCGGCGACTTGTGAAAATGCCATAAATATCTCATATTTAATAAAATACCCAGGCTATCAACGTGGAGCTGCATCAATGGTCGCACTCCGTTAATGCGAAGCAATGGAAAGTTGCGCGCTGGTAAAAAAACTGTCAGTCGTAGGACAGCACGTCAGTAGTGAAAACTTCTTAGCTTCAAAAACTTGTAAACATTATTTCTGGGTTGTTAAGAAATATTTTTAGAAAGTATTCTTTATAGAAATTATTTTTTATCAACGTATTAATATAGTAAAAAATTTAATAATTTATTGCACTGTTTTACACGAAAAAGAATGATTATTATTATATATATAATACAAACAAATCTATAAATACTCATCAATTTTATTAAATTTAAGTCAATTGGTTTTTCGACATTACTTTCATCAATTTTGAGTATCTGAACGAGATGGTCATGCGAGTTCAGTGCATTTTCCATTCCAGTGTCCAACCAGCCTAAAGAAATTTTCACTTAAAAAATTCTTATTTTTTTCAGATAAATTTTTTTATAGGATAAGGGTGACAAGCGAGCACACAGTCCACCCACCAGATGGTAAGTGGTTGCTGTGGCCCATAAACATACATACTACATCTATCTTCGTTTGCGAATCAAAATGCAGATGCGTTGTCAGCCGTGGGGACTAAGATGGAATGCCTCTTTTCCAGTAAAAGGGGTCTCAGGTTCTCTACACTCGCCATTCAAAACACGGCAGCATTAAGATGCTATTTTACGCTAGTATTATGTGAGAGCGTGGTGCTTCCCCGGTCGAGCCGACCCATTCGTACTACAACTATACAATTAA